TGCTTCTAATGCCAGGCCTGGGGCCACTTAGCCAGAGGTATGGCGCTTGCTGTGGCCAGATGCTACTTGTTTGAGAGAATTTAGGAAAATCTAAAGCAGGAGCCAAACCAGACCAATCCTATGTATGGTAAAGCCACTGGAAAGGGGGGGGGGGCGCCTCACCAAAGGAACAACAACTGCATCTGCATGTCTGTCCCCGTGTGGGAGAAAGCTGCCTCTCCAGTCCTCACCCTGATGCCAAACAACTCAGTTCTTCCCCGTATGTCTCCGGTGCCTTTCAAGCTGCTTCCCCTCTGCGCTGGAGCTCAGAGGGAGTGGGTCTGAGTAAGTCCGTGCAGGGGCCCCTTAAGAGGAACTGCCTGGGGCTCTGACATTCGCACCCTCCCTCAGCCTGTTCCCTCTGAGTTTTGCAGCCAGAAGTGATGGGGACTTCTCTTCCTGGCACTGGAACCCTGAGTTGGGTGCTTGGTGTGGGACGGGGACCCCTCATCCTCAGGGAGGACCTTCCCAGCCAAGGTGTCCTCCTGATTTTTATCCGCCACACGTGGGTGTGGGACCAGCCCGTTGTGCCTCCGCCCCTCCTACCAGTCTCGATGTGGCTTCTTTATTTTCGTAGTTGTAGGACTTCTGTTCAGCTTGATTTCAGGTGGTTCTAAAGGATGTTTGTCCTGTAGTTTAGAGTAATTTTGATGTGGTTGTGGGAGGAGGTGAGTACCATGTTTACCTACACCACTATCTTGACCAGACATCTCTTTTTCGTTTGTTTGTGTTTTTTGGTAGTGCCCCTAGAGGGAACCGAACCCAGAACTCTCTGGTCCGCAGGCTGACACTCCAACCGCTGAGCCAAACCGGCCAGGGCTTTTTTTTTAATAAGAAAATACCAAGGCTTTATTTTGTTTTCTCATGAAGATAGCCCTCCATATTGGCTAAGTAGAAAGGATGAACACAGTTTTCATGAGCAAATATATGATTTACCTGCTTCAGAATGCATACCATAATGTCAAAGAAGTTATATAAAGAGGGTAAAGGTGTAATGCTCTCATCTTTGTAGCAATAAAATGAAAATTAAAACCAAAGGTAAATGAACTTAATTAGTGCTAGACATTCCCACAGGGAAAAAGCAAAAGGACTTTAAATCAATCAGTAGTTTTTGTATATGATAAAACAAACTCCAGCACGGCCAGTGTGGCTCAGTGACTGAGCATCGACCCATGCACCAAGAGGTCGCTGGTTCGATTCCCAGTCAGGGCACATGCCCAAGTCGTGGGTCAAATCCCCACTGGGGGGCACGCAGAGGCAGCCAATCAATGTTCTCTCTCATCGATATTTCTATCTCTCCTCCCCCCTCCCTTCTTCTCTCTCTAAAAATCAATAAAGAAAAAAACAAAACAAAAAAACTCCATTAGGCTGAGCCACCTTCACTCCTGTCTCCAGTCCTCACCATCTGAGGTACACCGGTCTGGAAGGGCAGAAGTCTTGGAGGACCAGAAAACCTGGCTCTGGTGAGGCATCTACGTGCAGCAGAGTCGCACGTGGAAGCTAACAGCACATTCAGCATTAGTCCTCTGCACAGAAATAGCAAAGGGCTCAAAGGGTGGAACGTCAAGGCAACAAGGCGTCATACTCTGTGGTTGATGGGGTGGCCCAGGAAGCCTGGATCTGAAACTTGAGCAGACCAGAGTCCTGGGCATAGAACCTGCTGGGGTGATCTCCACAAGTCTTGGGCTGCTCCATGACTGACACCATTTGTCATCATAGCTGAAGAGAGACAAACCGTAAGGCTGGCACTGATGGGGAGCTGACCCAGCAGTCAGTGTACTGCCTTGGTGCGCCATCCACACGCGGCATTTACAACAGTGTCTTTAAACCAGCACTGGGTCTGCCTTGGAACATTGTTGCTGAAAGAGGAGCAGGGAAACTGAACTTCCCTGTGCAGGGCAGCGTTACAGAAGAGATCACAGAAGTCCTCAAAGAGCTCCAAAAGCTCATCTGACATATTCCCAAACACAGCAATCACCTCTGTTGTCACCATATTGTACACCACAAAGAAAGATGCCTGTGATGGATCTGTGACCCTCAGGGTTACTACACTCTTGCTAGTATACTTGATAAACAGAGGTTTTCATCTAGAAGCTGTATTTTCCATGTGCAGCTGACCTCTATCATCTCTGCCGAATCCTGTTGGTCAGAATACACCGCGAGGCCAGCCCGCTCTCAAGGGATTGAACAGCAGGAGGCAGGAGGCCTTGGGGTCCATCTCCGAGTCTGCCTGCTGCAGTCATGGTAACAGCGCACTGGCCCAGCAGCCTTTGCAATGGGTAGCACCATCTGTTAAGTGCTTGTGTGTGCTAGACACTCTGGTGAGGTGCTTTATGACCCAAAGGTGGCTTCCCACATCCTGAACTCAGACTGAGTAAACCGAGGCTGTACTGCATACTGAAACAGTGGTGTGAGTCCTACCCAATCTTGGTTTCTACCCAGTCTTTTTTTTTTTTTTTCCTCCATCCTCACCCGAGGATATTTTTCTAAATATCTTCAGATAGAGTGGGGGTGGGGTGGGGAGAGAGAGAGACAGACAGACAGACAGACATGATGTGTAGAGGGACACATCGATTAATTGCCTCCACACAACTCCGACCAGGGTCAGGGATGAACCACAACCGAGGTACATGCCCTTGGCTGGAATCGAACCCGGGATTCATTGGCCCACAGGCCGATGCTCTATTGCTGAGCCAAACCGGCCAGGGCTCTACCCAGTCTTAATCAGAAAGGCTAGATGAGTACTCCTCCTCCACTCTCAAGACAGACATGGTCTTTGCCTTCCACCCAATGTCTCTCAGCTCCTGACACCCTGCCCAGAATGCAGTGGGACTTGGTAAATTGTGGCTGATAAATGCTGCTCACCATTCCCTGGGGACCTCCAGACTCTGGGTAATTACCACCACTACCCCTTTAGGGTCTGGAGACCCTCTGGCACTACACAGATTCTCCTTTACCATGGAGGCAGGTGGCACCAGCAGACACAGACTATAGCCTACTGATCTTATACAAATTACACAGTCGGTTGCCCCTTTCCCACCACATGCAGGCCAGACTGGGTCCTGGCCTGGACAAGCCAGCTGTACAAGACAGGCATGGACCAACTGGAAAAACCTGAGTATGTCTGCTCATTTGATGATCCGAAATATACTGGAATTTCAAAAGTGGAAGTTGTTGAACAAAAAATAAGAGATAAAATAGGGTGAATTTTGCCCTGACCAGGTGGCTCAGTTGGTTGGAGCATTGCCCCACACACCAAAAGGTTGCAGGTTCAATTCCTGGTCAGGGCACATGCCTAGGTTTTGGATTCAATCCCCAGTCGGGGAGTGTACGGGGGACAACTAATCGGGTTCTCTCTCACAGCAATGTTCCTTCCTCTGTCCCTCCCTTCCTCTCTCTAAAATCAATAGGAACAGCCCTGGCCGGTTTGGCTCAGCGGTTAGAGCGTCGGCCTGCGGTCCGGAGAGACCCGGGTTCGGTTCCCGCTAAGGGCACGTACCTTGGTTGCAGTTTGTCCCCGGCCCTGGTTGGGTCGTGTGGGTGGCAACCACTCGATGTGTCGCTTTCACGTCGATGTTTCTCTCTCTCTCTCTCTCCCACTCTATCTGAACAAAATATCGAAAAATGTCCTCGAGTGAGGATAAAAAATAAATAAAATAAAATCAATAGGAACATATTCTCAGGTGAGGCTTTTTTAAAAAAATAAAAAGGATAAACTTCATAGTAACTTCAACTTTTTAAAAATTAAAACAAAAACAAGGAGAAACATGCCCCTTAATGCACTGAACAAGTCAATAGAAGGATGACCGAGGGCTCCCAAAAGCTCAGAACTTCAGCTCCTGGGAAGGATTTAAGGGAAAGAAGATCCCTCCTTCAAGCCACATACCAGACCCAGAGGCTGTGGAGAGCAGGAGCAGCAAGGCCCACCTGCATCCCTTCTGAGCAGGGGCAGCCTCTGAGCTACAGCCCATGCACTGGGGCCCAGAGCACAGCAGGGAAGCCCACATGACCTCACCGCGCACCATCTCAGGAGATGTAAAGGACAGGAACACCTGACCCCACTTCACCTACTTCCATCTCATTGCAAAGAACACAGGGACAGTCAGTAGATGGAGAGACACAGAGCCTGGACAGGCCACAGCACCAGGTGACCCAAGGCTGGCTACCCCACCTGGCCCAAACACAGACAACTGACTGTTGGAATTGGGGCTTTATTTCCTTTCGGCTTGCAGCAGGCACATGCTTGCAGAGGTGACATATGCAACAGAGCTCATGGAGAAGGTACAGGGGGTCCCACCCCCTCCACCAGACCCGAAGGCCCTGCCTCAGCCCTGGCAGCGTCCTGGTAGTAGAAGCCCTGGCTAGCAACCTCAGCAGAAACACAAGTCCCACCTGCCTGGTTCCTCTCTGCACTTGGCTGGGGTTGGGGGTGATGGGTCTACACAGGTGTCCCTCACTTAACCCAACCTGCAGCAGAGATCTTGGGCTCAGGGTGGCCACCAGCTAGGGACCCGTTTCATTGAAGCCTGGACCTTAGGGAACTTTCTTAGGGGACACAAGATCCTGCTCTAGGGCAGCACCTAGTGGCACATGACAGCACTGCCCCCTGCAACCCCCTTCTCAACCCCACTGGTCCAGGGCAGTGCCCCTGAGGGTTCCTAGCCAAATGCAGTGGGAACCAGCTGAGGCAATCAGTCAAATGGGCTTCTCCCCAGCACAAAGCCTGGGGGGGGGGGGGAGGCTAAGGAGTGTTGGGGCTCTCTGGGGAGGGAAATGCTGAGCCCATGAGCTTTTTTTGTTTGTTAATCCTCACCTGAGGATATTTTTCCATTAATTTTTAGATAGAGTGGAAGGGAGGGAGGGAGAGAAACATCGATGTGAGAGAAACACTGATTGGTTGCCTCCTGAACAACCCCAACCAGGGCCAGGGATCAAACCTGCAACCTGTACATGCCCTTGACCAGAAATCGAACCTGCAACCCTTTGGTCTGAGGGCCGACACTCTTACCACTGAGCCCAACTGGCCAGGGCCCATAAGCCTTTTGTGACTACTCCATGTGGTCCCCACCAAGGGATGCTGGTCTGGATTCCTAACAGTTCAAAAGGTAGCACTGAAGAAGGGAGAGGGCCAGGGGAGGGACCCCACTGGTGGCCTTGGCACTTTAGGGGCGATGTGTCATGAGGGAGTGGAGAGAGGGGTTGGCTCCGCAGCCTGCTGCATTGTGGTGGGCTGCTGGATGGATGATAGCCCTTTACTTCTGTCCCCAGCCCCCTGACACCCACAGACTTGCATCACCCAGTGCCCAGGGACTTCCTGAGCCTCAGGGAAGAAACAGAGACAGCTTTTGCAAGTGTTTCCTTTACTGCATCCAGGCAAAGTGCTTAGCCACATGCCCCCTACCCCCATACTACTTTCAGACTGACACCTCCTTGAGGGATGGGTCATCCTCTCAGCTATGGCCATGGTGCCCAGGTCAGGGCCTAGGGTGCCCCAGCAAGGGACTAGAGAAAGCAGGGCTGAGGCCCCCTCCCCACTGACCCTGGAGGAGCCACCTACCATCTCTAGAAGAGGAGGGGCTAGGGTATCCAGCAGAGGCCCCTCTAATTCCAAGCCCTGGGGCATGTAAGGGCCTTCAGAAAACCTCCCCAAGGCTGTGTGCTTGGGTAGGTGGGGAGGGTCTGAAGGTGCTGACCAGGCCCTGCTCCATGTACTCTGACTGCCCTCAACCCTCTGACCTGGGACATGAAGGTCGCCACCCTGCCACTGGGCCAGGTGTGAAGCCATGTGTGTCCACTGTGGCCAGTTCCACCTTGGAGATACCAACCTCTTACAGAGCTCCAGAAATGACACTACCCTGAAAGCCCCTCACCGGCCCCAGTCACCACAGTTTCAAGAATGAGAGAGAGGGGTAGAGATGCTAAGCCAGCAGGGAAGACAAGCTGTGCAGAGGCCCAGATCAGCACAGTCTTCCTGGAGCAGAGCCAGCCAAGCCCCTCCCCTCAGCAGTGAACCCTGGGCCCCAGGAAGCACATCCCAGTCCAGCCTCTTCCCACCTCAGCCCCAGCCCCGGAACTCTCTAGGGCTAGATAAGGGTGACAGAGGGACCTGGCTCCAGGGCTGTCAAGGGGACACCCACTACCACAACCTTTTGGGCCCAACCACCACATGCGGCCCTAGCGGAGGCCACACTCCACCCCCTGCAGCTTCTCCTGTTCCATGGCGCGCACCAGATCCTGCACGAACCGCATCTCAGAGGCCACCTGCTTGGCCAAGGCTTCGTATCGGTTCTCCAGGCGGCTAAAGCGGCGCTTGAGCCCACTGGCCCCTAGCAGGGCGCCCTTGGCCTCCTCCTGGGCCTGCCGTTGGAGCGCCTCGGTCTTGTGTAGCTCCTGCCGCAGCCGCCGCAGGTCCTGGCCAATGCTCTCGTTCTCCTCCCTATACCAGGCCTCCTTTTCTTCATAGATGGCTGTCAGCGCCTCAATGTCCTCATGGAAGAGCCGCCGGCTGTGTTCGAGCCCACGCAGGCCCTCCTCGGCTGCTGCCACCTCCTCCAGCACCTTGGAGAAGCGCTCAAAGTTGATGTAGGTATTGTTGGGGGGCATACTCGAGTGTGATTTGATGGTGTACTCCTTGAGGCGGGCTGTCTTCAGGCGTCGCCGCTCTGGTTTCCGGCCACTGTCCTCCCGCCGCACATTCCGCCGCCGGATTGCCTGCAGTGAGAGAGAGAACACAGCTTGCAATGGGGGGCAGGTGGTGGACCACTGAAGGCCATATCCAGCCCTTTCCCGCCCCCTCCCCACCTCCCCACACCCACACTGCTTGCCTTTGTAAATAAAGTTTTATTGGCACACAGACATGCCTATTTGCATATGTATGGTCAAAGGCAGAGCTGAGTATTAATGCCAGAGACCACAGGGCTGAAAATATTGACTGTTTGGCCCTTTACAGAAGGCTACCAACTGTGACCTAGAGGTGGCCCCTATTGGAAAGCTTCTGTGGAAGAGAGCCCTGCTGCGTGTACAGAAGGACTAAGGATGCCAGTGGGTACCTCAGTGAGATGGCTCCGACACCATCTTAGGGAGCATCCCATCCTCCACTGCCCAGGCCCACCATTCTGGGGACCCTCCCTGGATTCTGAAGGCTTGTCACACCTACCATCCCTCAGTGGGAGCAGCCCCCACCCCCAGCCTCACCTTGATCCAGGAATGCTCCAGGCTCTGGGAGATAGTCATTCTCCTCCTGGAAGAACACCCCACACCAGCCCTGGTTAGTCATACATGTGCCATCTACACCGCCCCCCCCCCCCCCGCCCGCAAGAAGCAGAGAGCAGGGAAGGGGTTTTCCAGGCTCTTCCTGCCACAGTTCTGCTCTCAGCACCCAGCCAGGCCTGACTCAGACACCTGCCTCTGAGGACCTCTAACCCCTAAATTCACCCTTCAGCCTGGCAGCAAGTTTCTGAAATAATCTTGAAATTACACACATAATCCAGGGCATCCATTCTGCTAAGTCAAACACAAGGAGTGTGTCAAGGCACCTTTAGGGGCACAGGCTGAGGTCTCCGTGCTCCCCGAGGGGTTTTGTTAATAGGGTCAAGACCTAATGCTGAGATCAAACAACTCAGGCACCCACCCACAGGAGGGGCTGGGCAGGCAACACAAATGGGCAGCACACACTAGGGTGGAGCTACAGCCAAGGAGAGCACCTCCCTGTGAATGGAGGCCCTCTGCTGCCAGGATTTTTAAATTTTTTTCCTAAAAAAACAGTAGCAATCTGAAATTTAATGTGAAACCCCAATTTTAAAAGTTACCAATGAATGAAAAGTTTCTTTTTTTCAAATTCTCATCCAAGGATATTTTTCCATTTATCTTCATATAGCGAGGAAGGGGGGGGAGTGAGAGAGAGGCACAGAGAAAGAAACATCGATGTGAAAGGGACACATTGACTGGTTGCTTCTCACACAACCCCCACCAGACCCGGGGACAAACCAAAACCGAAGTATGTGTCCTTGACCAGAATCGAACCCGCAACTCATGGGTCTGCGGGCCGATGTTCTAACCACTAAGCCAAACCGGCCAGGGCTAAACACTTCGTAAGACATACTGCCCAGCTGGTGTGGCTCAGTGGTTGAGTGTCGACCCATGCAACAAGAGTTTGCTGGTTCGATTCCCGGTCAGGGCACATGCCCAGGTTGTGGGCCTAATCACCAGTTGAGTGCATGCAGGAGGCAGCCAGTAGATATTCTCTCTCATCGATGTTTCTATCTCTCTCTAAAACTCAAAAAAAAAAAAAAAAAAAGACATACTGTGGGCCAACCTAAGCTGTCCATTGCTACCTCTGGCCCAAAGCGGAAGCCCAAAACGGAGATGTGGTGACTTGAGAGAGATGTCTTCTTAGCCACACTACCCATTCTAGGGAGACTCCTTCGGCCTTCCCTATGGGGCCGCTCCCTGATCCCTCTGCCCAACCTGTGCTTACTTGGGGTCCTTGACAAGCAGCCGGCGGATGAAGTCCTTGGCCAGCTCGCTGGTATTGCTAAAGTACTCCTCGTCGAAGTCATAGTTTACAGCCGAGATGTTGGTCAGGGTCTCCTGCTTGGTTTCACCCAGGAAGGGGGATGCACCACTCAAACTGGAAGACAAACATGGGGTTGTGTCCCCTGCACGCACTCCATCACCAAGCTGCTGCCGGGGCTACCACCAAAATCTGCAGTGCCCAAAAAGGGGCCAGACGCAGAGGAAGACAGACGCTAGGCCCATGCACACATTTCCCGGAACCTCCAACCATCCACCCCCTGGCTGCCAACCAGATAGGTGCTAAAACCAGTGGGTGAAAATCCCTGTGGGAGCTCAAAGTACCTATGTAGATGCACAGTCTCAAAGCATTTGCTTCAGGATGTTTAATGATTCCAGAGGGAAAACCTGTCATTTTCCAGGGAAATCCTGGCTGATTACACCTAGCACGTGGGCAAGGTGTGCATCACTGGTGATGACACAGGTGTCACCTGCCTTCCTGATACTCTGCACTGAGTGGGCCATACTACCACCCCTGTGGGGCTCTGGGCACTTGACACTGTGACTTATAGTATAAAACATATTTGGTCTTCAACCTGGTCCTTGGGTACATGGTTCCCAAAACGCTTGGAATTTCCTAAAATGTAAGAGATAAAACAGTAGGAGCATCTTTTGTTATAATATTCTTGTCCTTGGTAATATTCTTGTTCTTGGTTCTTGAAATGGCTCCAGAGAATAAAGATAAAAGCATCATCATTTATTATTTGTAACAAGCCCCTTCCAACCTCAGAGTTTATGCTAATGAGGTGACTTTAGGAGAGCACCTGAAGAGAGAGGGCTGGTGGCCTAGGGACCCAGCAGTGGGACTGGAGAGTTGGAACCTTCACCCTCACCCCTGATCTCCAGGGAAGAGAGAAGGGCTAGAGGTTGAGTTATCACTGATGATCGAAGATTTAATCAATCATGCCTACGTGATGGAACATCCATAAAAATCTCTAAAGTAGGAGATTGGGAGAGCTTCTGGGTGGGTGAGCGTGTCCATGTCCAGGAGGAAGATGCACCCCAAACTTCACAGGGACAAAAGTTCCTGCACTCAGGCCCTTCCTGGCCCTTTCCCCCGAGATCCTGCATCTGCCGTTCATCTGTATCTTTTATCATCTCCTTTGTGATAAACTGGTAAACATAAGTAAGTGTATCCGAGTTCTGTGAGCCGCTCTAGCATATGATCAAACCTGAGGTAGAGGTTGTAGGAAACCTCAGATTTACAGTCGGTGGGCCAGAAGTACAGGTGACAACCTGGACTTGTAATTGGCATCTGAACACAGGACAGTCTTGTGGGTCTGAGCCCTTAACCTGTGGGTTCTGATGATATCTCCAATGTAGGACACCCAGTTGGTGTCACAGACAATGGCTTGGTGTGGGGAGAAACCTGCAAACACTGGTGACCAGCAGTATCAGAAGCATTGAAAGGAGAGTAGCAGAGAAACTGTTTCTTTCCCAGGCAGAAAGGCACAGCTCAGACCCATACTGAGAGACATTCTAAAATATCCCTGACCAGTGCTCTTCAACAGCATCTACATTCAACCTCAAGTGTACCAACATTCGTATCATGGGGTGTCATTAGGAGAAGAGACAGAGCAAGAAATTCAAACCCTATTTGAAAAAATAATGATAGAAAACTCCCCTTCCCTAGCCAGTTTCGCTAAGCAGTTAGAAATCACTGGCCCTCAGATCGAAGGGTCGCAGGTTCAATCCCTGGCCCTGGTCAGGGTCATGCGGGAGGCAACCAATCAATGTGTCTCTCTCACACTGATGTTTCTCTCTCTCTCCTACCCCTCCCACTCTATCTAAAAATCAATGGGAAAATATCTTCAGGTGAGGATTAACAAAAACAAATAGAAAACTTCCCTAACCTGGTAAAGAAATTAGACATACAAGTCCAGGAAGTGCAGAGTCCCAAACAAGATGAACTCGAAAAGGCCACACCAAGACACATAATTAAAATGCAAAAGGTTGTCCGGCCAGTGTGGCTCAGTGGCTGAGCATCGACCCATGCACCAAGAGGTCGCCAGTTCAATTCCTGATCAGGACAAATGCCCAAGTTGTGGGCCCAATCCCCAGTACGGGACATGCAGGAGGAGGCCAGTCGATGTTCTCTCTCATCGATGTTTCTGTCTCTTTCTCCCTCTCACTTCCTCTCTCTCTAAAATATCAATAAAGGAAAAAAAAAATTTTAATGCAAAAGGTTAAAGACAGAGAATTTTAAAAGCAGCAAGAGAAAAGCAGTTAGTTACTTGCAAGGGAGCTCCCATAAGACTTCAAGCTGATTTCTCAACAGAAACTTTGAAGAGATTGGCACAAAATATTCAAATTGATCAAAAGCAAGGCCCTAGCACTGGCTGGTTTGGCTAAACAGTTGGAGCCTTGGCCTGCGAACCAGAGAGTCCCAGGTTCGATTCTGGCCAAGGGCATGTACCTCAGTTGCGGTTAGTCCCCGGCCCCAGGTGGGGTTGTGCAGGTGGCAACCAATCAATGTGTCTCTCTCATATCAATGTCTGCCTGTCTGTCCGTCTGTCTCTCCCCCCCTCCCACTCTGTCTGAAGATAAATGTAAAAATATCCTCGGGTGAGGATTAAAAAAGAAAAGAATAGGACCTACAATCAAGATTACTCTATCCAGCATTGCTATCATTTAGAATCAAAGGACAGATGAAGGGCTTCCCAGACAAGAAAAAGCTAAGGGAGTTCATCATCACCAAATCAGTATTACAAGAAATGTTAAAGGGTCTTCTTCAAGAAGAGAGGTAAAAAATATGAATAATAAAATGGCAATAAGTATATATCTATCAAAATTACTTCAAATGATAATAGATTAAATGCTCCAATCAAAAGATATATGGTGGATGACCCTTATATATGCTGTCTACAACAGACTCACTTCAGATTGAAAAACACACAGACGGAAAGGAAAAAAGATATTACATAAAAATGAAAACAAACAAACAAGAAAAGCTGGGGTAGCAATACTTGTACCAGACAAAACAGACTTTAAAACTACAGCTATAAGGCCCTGGCCGGGTAGCTCAGTTAGTTAAAGCATCGTCCCAATACACCAATGTAGGTTCGATCCCCAGTCAGGGCACATACAAGAATCAACCAATGAATGCATAAATAATTAGAACAAATTGATGTTTCTCTCTCTCCCTTTCTCTCTCTCTCTCTAATCAATAAAAACATATTAAAAACAAAAACTAAGGCTAGCCCTGGCCGGTTTGGCTCAGCAGTTGGAACGTCCACCTGCAGACCAAAGAGTTGTGGGTTTGATTCCAGTTAAGGGCACACGTACCTCTTCTGGTCAGGAGACATGCAGGAGGCAACCAATCAATGTATCTCTCTCACATCGATGTTCCCCTCTCTCCCACCCTATCTGAAGATAAATGGGAAAGAAGTATCCTCAGGTAAGGATTTAAAAAACAAACAAACAGTCCGGCCGGTGTGGCTCAGTGGTTAAGCATCAACCCAGGCACCAGGAGGTCACCAGTTCGATTCCCGGTCAGGACATATGCCCAGGTTGTGGGCCTGATTCCCCAGTGGGGGACATGCAGGAAGCAGCCAGTCCATGTTCTCTCTCATCGATATTTCTATCTCTCTCTCCCTCTCATTCCTCTCTCTCTAAAATCAATGAAAGAAAAAAAATTAAAAACAAACAAAAAAACTAAGGTTATAATGAGAGACAAAGAAGGACCCAGCAATTCCACTTCTGGATATTTTTACAAAGAAACCAATAACATCAAATTGAAAGACATATATATTCATATGTGTATTGCAGTATTATTATTATTATTATTTATCCTCATTCGAGGACATTTTTCCATTTTTTGTACAGACAGAGTGGGAGGAAGAGAGAGAGAGAGAGGGAAACATCGATGTGAAAGGGACACATCGAGTGGCTGCCACCCGCACGACCAACCAGGGCCGGGGACAAACTGCAACCGAGGTATGTGACCTTAGCGGGTACCGAACCCGGGTCTCTCGGGACCGCAGGCGGACGCTCTAACCGCTGAGCCAAACCGGCCAGGGCTATTATTATTATTTTTGCATTTATCTTCTGAGAGAGCAGGGGGGGGGAGAAACATCAATGTGAGACACATCAACTAGTTGCCACCCACATGACCCCAACCAGGGCCAGGGACAAACTACAACCTAGGTACGTGCCCTTAGCGGGAACCGAACCTGGAACTCTCAGCTGTGGGCCGATGCTCTAACCACTAGCCAAACCGGCCAGGGCTACTGCAGTATTATTTACAGAAGCCAAAATATGGAAGCAATCTAAGAGTCCATCAACAGATAAATAGATAAAGAAGTGGTGAATACCCAGCTGGTGTGGTACAATTGGTCGAGCACTGTCCCATGCACCGAGAGGTCAGGGCACATGCCCGGGTTGCAGGCTCGATCCCCAGTGGGGGGGTGTGAGGGATGCAGCCAATCAATGTTTGTCTCTCATCAAGATGTTTCTCTCTCTCTCTCCCTCTCCCTTCCTCTATGAAATAAATAAAAACTCATTAAAAAAAAATAAAGTATGTATATGTATACACATACATACACATACACACACACACACCCACAGTGGGATATGATTCAACCATAAAAAAGAATGAAGTCTTGCATGTGCAACATGGAGAAACCTAAAGAGCACTGTGCTGAGTGAAATCAGTCAGAGAAAGACAAATGCCAGATGATTTCACTTATATGTGGAATCTAAAAAACAAAATAAACAAGCAAGCAGAACAGAAACAGACTCATAGGTACAGAGAACATTTTGACAGTATCCAGATGGGAGGATGGGTGAAAAAGGTGAAGGGATTTAAAAATATAAATTGGTAGTTACAGAATAGTCATGGAAATTTACTTTGCTATAAAGTACAGCAAAGGGAAAATAGTCGATAATACTGTAATAACTATGCACAGTGTCAGATGGGTATTAGGTTTATCAGGATGATCACTTCATAAATTATATAAATGTCTAATCACAGGGTTGTATACCTAAAACTAATATAAGATTGTACATCAACTGTAATTTTTAAAAAAATCTGCCCGGGCCAGTTTGGCTTAGCGGTTAGAGCGTCGGCCCACAGACCAGAGACCTGGGTTCGGTTCCCACTAAGGACACATACCTCGGTTGCGGTTTCTCCCTGGCCCCAGTTGAAGTGGTGTGGGTGGCAGCCAGTCGTGTCTCTCTCACGTCGATGTTTCTCTCTCTCTTCCCCCCTCTCTCCCTCCTGCTCTACCTGAAGATAAATGCAAAAATGTCCTCAGGTGAGGATAAAAAAAAGAAAAACATATTGCCCTGGCCGGTTCACCTCAGCAGTTAAAGTGTGTCAGCCTTTGGACCAAAGAGTCACATGTTTGATTCCTGGTCAAGGGCATGTACTTGGGTTGCAAGTTGGATCCCTGGCCCCAGTTGGGGTCATATGGGAGGCAATCAATTGATATGTCTCTCTCACATCAATGTTTCTTTCTCTCTCTCCCTTCCTTCTTCCCACTCTATCTAAAATTCAATGGAAAAATATCCTCGGGTGAGAATTAAAACATATATATATAATTTTTTTAATTAAAAAAAGCATCCAGCCCTGGTTGGTTTGACTCAGGGGTTAGAACATTGGCCTGTGGTCTGGAGAGACCCAGGTTCGGTTCCCGCTAAGGGCACGTACTTCGGTTGCAGTTTGTCCCCGGCCCTGGTTGGGTTGTGTGGGTAGCAACCACTCGATGTTACACTCTCTCTCTCCCTCCCACTCTATCTGAACAAAATATCAAAAAAAAACAAAAAAAAAAAACATCCAGGTTGTGACAGACAAGGAAACACAGAGGAACCATCCCAGGGTCATGCAATGAGTGACCTGGCTGGGGTCATGGTCCAGAAAGAGGACACAGTGGAAAAACTGGTGACATGAATAACTTGGGTACTCACTCTGCTTGCTAATGCTGTACCAAGTTAATTTCTTGGTGTTGACAAATGCTGTTTGTACAAGACATTCAGAGGGGTAGAGCTCTGTTCTGTTTTTGCCACTCTTCAGAGAGTCTAAATTTATTTCAAAATTTTTTAAAAACCCACCTTGCCAAACCTTTTCTGATCACTACACCCATTCAATAAGCAAAGAACTAAAGAAAGGAGAGCACACATCTGACACAGGCACAGACGAGAAACAGCCCAAACGTGGCATCCAAGAAAATGATCTCAAAATCAAATCCCCTTTTTGCTCAGAGAAAGGGGTCCAGCTGCAGGCTAGCAGACTAAGGGGGTACACATGCTGTCCTGGCACAGGGTCCTCCATGTTACCTCCAAGGAGGGTGTTGTGCCTTCCGAACACTTCAGAAGCCCAAGACAGAAACCACACCTTCTCTCCTGCACAGTCATTCACTCATTCATTCATCCATCTACCCAGAATTCACTGAGCACCTTGACAGGTCAGAGTTCTGGGGGTCCCATGCTCTCAGTCACTGTCCCTGTCCAAAAGCCTCCCCAACCCTTTTCCAGAACAGGCAGGGCCCTGGGAGAAGCAGCTGGAAGCACCAACCGGATACTCACAGGATGTAGGTAATGACACCAATGCTCCTGGAAGATAACACATGAGAAGAGGAAGATCAGCTCAGCTGTGGGGTGCAGCTCCCTGACTCCCAGAGTTTCTATAGGGCAGGGGCCCAGAGCTCACATGAGGAAGCTATAAGCCTAAGGCTATTGGGCTAGGTGGGCATGAGGTCTGTCAGCCCTGCTCCCTTTCTACTGCCCTGGGGTCTCAAGATTGGATATTTAAACACCTCTGACCACACCTCCTGTCAAGGCTCAAAGGGGCCAGAGTGGAAGTGAAGCAAACAGCACTATGGCCCCACAGACCCTACAGATCTGGGAACCACTATAGGGCCAGCAGGGCTAGCAAACTGTTTATTTATAGAGGGTCAGACAGTAAACATTTCAGGCTTCATGGGCCACTAATGTTCTGTTATGTATTTGTCTGCTTTGTTTTTTACACCCCTTTAAAAAAACAAGACCACCACTCCCAGCTCCTAGGCCTGCTCTGGCTGGTGCGCTGCAGTTTGCTGACCCCTATTCTAAGGCAACGCTCCATCCTGCCCTTGCGCCATAGCACCATGGGATGGACTATGCCCCAGCTTGCAGCAACTGGGGATGAGCCAGGGAGATTCCACGAGAAGCAGTCCTAGGCTTGCATGCTGCACTCAGCACTGGGCAGCCCTGGGCAGCCCTGGGTTCCCAAAGCTACCCAACTCACCACATGTCTGCTTCCAGACCCAGGGGTTCATAGTTGACAATCTCAGGAGCTGCAGGGACAGGGAGACATAAGGTGGAAGGTCAGGAGCTGGTTGCATCTAAAGCCACTCTAGGCACTTAGCCAGTGTGGTCACTCAGAGGGAACACGCACAAACACACAGGCAAGGCCAGCTCTGGGACAGGAAGGAAGGGACAGTGATTAGCACCAACCCGAGGTCTTGAGCTTCCCCTTGCCTGATGCCAGGGCACCTGAGGGCAGGGCATGCATCAGGCATCCAGGGCCAAGCTTGACCTACCCTACACTGCTAGAAATCCTTGAATGCTGCTACCCAAGCCCAACCCCCAACATACTAGGCAGGGCCTTACCCACAAACTCTGGAGTGCCAAAGATGTTCTTGAACTCGTTCCCAGCTTCAATCTTGTGAGCGATGCCAAAGTCAATGAGCTTGATCCGGGGATTGGGCACATTCTTGTCCAGGAGCATGATGTTTTCTGGCTGGAGCAGGGGAAGGAGAGGAGGGCAGAGAGAGGAGGATCTGCTACTTCTGCTGGCCTGGCATCTCTGGGACCAGCACCTGGAATTTCCCTCGGCAACACTCCTACTCCCAACCCACAGGGTGTGGGCAGGCTGATGCCACCCTGAGGGTCCAGGCCTGAGGAGATCTATCTCCTTAACACCCAGAGCATCAACGGGTCCAGGGGATGTGCATTCTGTACCCATGAAAGTAGAACCTTCTTGGACCCCCATCCTCACCTGCACCAGCAGAGGTTCCCAGAGGCTTACCTTGAGGTCAAAGTGGGCGATGCGCTTAGAGTGTAGGTAGTGGACACCATCCAGGATCTGCTTAAGGAACTGAGTGGCCTCATCCTCCGTCAGTGACTCCTTCTCAGCCAGGAAATCAAAGAGCTCCCCACCGGAGACCAGCTCCAGGATAAGCACCACGTCGGTCTTGTTCTCAAAGATGTCATGTAGCGTGATGATGTTGGGGTGTCGGATCTCCCGCAAGATGTTCACCTCCCGCTCAATCTCCTCCCGGCTGACCCCCCTCCGGCTGGATGACAGACGGCGCTTCTTGATGAACTTGGCTGCGTACTCCTTCCCAGTGCCCTTCTGCCGGCATTTTCGCACAATCGCAAACTGGCCGCTGCAGGGACAGAGGGGAGGGGAGGTGAATGGAGGTGATCAGAGCACCAAAAGTGACCTATACCCTCCACCATCTCCTAGGGCAGTGCTCTCCCAGCTCCGGGCACCATGCAGATGCATGATCCCACTGCCTCCAAGGGGTACCCAGTGGATAGGCTGCTATGTGAGTACAAAGCATGCGTCACACAATGGCTGCCTGGCAGTTTGGCAACAGTGAAAAAACAAAAACAGCTCAATGTTTACCAAGAGGAGGGAACTGAAATCCATCGTGGAAATAAGTCCAGCGGAACTGTACAACATCATGGAAAAAAATAAAGACAACTAAGCTCACTGAAAAAAGCAAAATGCAAAATGACACACAGAATAAGATCTTTTCATTCAAAAAAAGTATATATTGTATCCATGTATACAGATATATTTATGTACATATATGTAGAAAATAAAGATCTGAAAGACCCATGTCAAATTGTTAACAACAGCCATTGCTGAGGACTGTGATTAAGGAAATGAGGACAGCAAAAAGGGGTTCTTATTTATTTGATACAATTCTATATTAATTCAACTTTTTCAGTATATTTCATCATTTTGAAAAATCTAAGAAAAAAGAAAGCCCTTGATTTCAAAAGAACTTCTTATTCAATGGGCAGAGTGAAAGAAATGCACAATAATTTATTATTATTTTTAATATATTTTTTATTGATTTTTTTTTTAGAGAGAGAAGGGAGAGACAGAATCATCAATGAGAGAGAGAAACATTGATTTGCTGCCTCCTGCATGCCCCCTACTGAGGATCGAGCCCACAACCCAGGCATGTGCCCTGACCAGAAATTGAACCAGGACCTCTCAGTCCATGGGATGACGCTCAATCCACTGAGCCACACAGGCCGGGCTTAATTTTTATTTATTGATTTTAGAAAGAGAAAGGGGAAGAAAAAAACATCAATTGTTGTTCCACTTATTTATGCATTCACTGGTTGATTCTTGTATGTGCCCTGACTGGAGATCAAACCTGCAACCTTGGCATATGGGGACAACACTCTAATAAACTAGGCTACCAGGCCAGGGCCAGAAATGTGCACATGTCCAAAACAAGAGAAGAGTGAGGATGTGGAGAAATTAGAACATTCACACCTGGCTGGTGAGAATGCAAAATGCGGCAGCTGCTATGTAAAAGTCTGGCAGTTCCTCACATGGTTAACATAGAATTACCATCTGACCTAGCAATTCCACTCCTAGATATGTATCTAAGAGAAATAAAAGCACATGTCCACACAGAAACCTGTACACAAACGTTCATAGCAATGTGATTCCCCTACAGGCAAAAGGTGGAAACAACACAAGTGTCTGTCCATCAATACATAAACGAATGTGGTCTATCCATATAGGAGAACATTATGTGACCATGAAAATCAAGACATTGTACACTTGAAATGAGTAAACTATACGCTATATGAATTATATCTCAAGATAGTTATTATTTTAAAAAGAGAGAAATTTGCCCTGGCTGGTATGGTTCCGTGGTTAGAGCATCGGCCCAAGCACTGAAGGGTTGCTGGTTCAAATCCTGGTTAAAGGCACATACCTGGGTTGCAGGTTCAATCCCTGATCCTAGTCAGAGTGCATGTGGAAGGCAACCATTGATGTCTCTCTCCCATCAATGTTTCTTTCTCTCTCCCCCTTCCTCCTTTCTACTCTCTCTAAAAATCAATGGAAAAATATCCTCAGGTGAGGATTAAAAAACATATATATGGAGCCTGGCTGGTGTGGCTCAGTGGTTGAGCATTGACCCATGCACCAAGAGGTCGCCGGTTCGATTCCCAGTCAGGGCACATGCCCAGGTTGTGGGCCCAATCCCCAGTGGGGGGCATGCAGAAGACGGCCCATCGATGTTCTCTCTCATCAATGTTTCTATCTCTCTCTCCTTCTCCCTTCTTCTCTCTCTAAAAATCAATAAAGACAAAAAAATAAAAAAATAAAAAATAAACATATATATAGCCCTGGCCACTTTGGCTCAGCAGTTAGAGCATCAGCCTGCGGACCAGAGAGTCCCGGATTCAGTCCCCACTAAGCATGAACCTCAGTTTGTCCCTGGCCCTTGTTGGGGTCATGAGGGTGGCAACCACTCAATGTGTCTCTCTCACGTCGATGTTTCTCTCTCTCTTCCTCCCTCTCTCCCATTCTATCTGAAGATAAATACAAAAAAATGTCCTCAGGTGAGGATAAAAAAAAAAAAGCTAGACAGTAAATATTTTAAATTATACGAGCCACATGGTCTCTCATAATCCTTGTGTGTTCTTACAACCCTTTCAAAAAGTAAAATGGCAGAAAAGCAGCCCTGGCCATTGTGGCTCATTGGTTTGGGTGTCGTCCCATACACTGAGAGGGTGCCGGTTCAATTCCCAGTAAGGGCACATGCCCAGGTTGTGGGCTCGATCCCAAGGAGGGGGTACACAGGAGGCAACCAATTAATGTTTCCCTCTCATGTCAATGTTTCTCTCTCTCCCTCTCCCAAGTCCAAGACAGAAAGCACACATTCCAGACAGGAAACTTCAACAAGGCCCCACAGGGATCAAGGAAAAACAGACATCTCAGGGAAATGCAGGAAGAGCACATAAATGAAGACAGGTCTTGGTGACAGGAGAGATCTCTGAAGCTGGTGGTGGCAGTGAGAGGACAGGCCAGGCAGAACAAGTGACAAACAGATGACTGAAGGGCATCTCTGCCAATCCAGTGGGGCTTTCAAAAAAGCTCGGGGGGGGGGGGGGCAGACTGGGTTTCCAAGTAGGCAGACTTACCTTTATTGTCCAGAGCCACCTTCAGCTGGCAAGCACCTAAGCCCCTGCCCTCATCACCATCAGGGAACAAAAGTGCCCACAGCAGGCCATTACAGACATGCTCTGAACACATTCAGGTGGTCAAAAGGTGGGTGAGCCCTGGCTAGGTGGCTAAGTTGGTTGGAGCGTCATCTTGTACACCAAAAGGTTGTGGGTTCGATTACTGGTCAGGGCACATATCTAGGTTGCAGGTGCAATCCCAGGTTGGGGTGTATTTGGGAAGCAACCAATGTTTTTCTCTCACATCAATGTTTCTCTCTGTCTCCCCTTCCTCTCTCTCTAAAATCAAGATATTCTTTGGTGAGAATTAAAAAAGGGCCCTGGCCGGTTTGGCTCAGATGGTTGAGTGTTGTCCCATGCACCAAGAGGTCTCTGGTTCAATTTCTAATCGGGGCAGGTGCCAAGGTTTTGGGCTCAATCTCCAGTTGGGGGCATGAAGGAGGCAGCCAATCGATGTTTCTCTCTCATAGTGATGTTTCTCTCTCCTTCTCCCTTGCTCTCTCTCTAAAAGCAGTAAAAACATATTTTTCTAAAAGTTAAAAAAACAAAGGTGTGTGAAGTTTAAGGCAGGCAAAATTATTACCAGTCATGGTAAGCTAAATAACGACCCCTCCAAAGTTGTCTATGTCTGAATCCAAGGAACCTGTGAATGTGTCCTCATATGGCAAAAGGAACTTTGAGGGTACAATTGAGGTTCCTGAGATGGGGTGATCCTGGATTATCAGGGGGGCCCAGGGTCATCACAGGGTCCACATAAGAGGGAGGCAAGAGGATCAGGGCCAGAGGGATGGAAGAAGCCACAATGCTGGCTGTGGCAATGAAGAGGAGCCTTGAGCTCAGGATTTGATGCCTCTAGAAGCTGGTAAAAGCTGGAAACAATCTCCCTGGAGCCTCCAGAGGAACCAACCCTGCAAATCCATTTCGACTCCTGATTCCCAGACCTTTAAGATAATTAACACATGTTCTTCTAAGCCACTAAGTTATGATTTGTTACAGCAGCAATAGGAAATTCAAACACTCATCTAAAAGTCAAGGGTACAGGTTAGAGGAGACAGATAAAGTGTCCCTGATTAGGTCTCGACCCCCTGAATCCACCACAACAGTCCCCTGGGTACCTATGCTCCTACCCCACACCTGGCTACTGGGTAGATGGAAGCCAGATGCCCACTTCTGGTTCAAGCACACCTGGGGGCTTTGGAACTAGCATGGTTTGGTCTCAAGATCTGAATCCTGTTTGGCTATTTACAGTCTGTGTGGCCTTGGGCAAGATGCTTCTCTTCTCTCAGACTCAGTTTATCTAAAATGAGGATAACAATGGCACCTGACTTGTAGGTCCTTTAGTAGATGAATGGAAATAACATAAAGACAGAACTCAGATGTCCAAAGGACATCTACAATTTATACAAATTGCAACATAGTATGCTCAGTGTTCTGTGCTATTAATCCTTCACTTCATGTATCTCTGAGAATGTTCTGGACAATTACATAGAGCAGTGCTGTCTAGGGTAACAGCCACTGGCCACACCACAGCTGTCAGTATTATCCAAATTGAGATGGGCTGTGGCATACAATACACACCAGATTTCAAAGGCTTTAAATAAAAAAAGTGATATAATATTTCACTAATGATTTTATAGCGATTACAAGCAAAGTGATAACAGTTTGATCTACCAGGTTAAATAAAATTATCATTAAAATTATTTGAGGTTTTGTTTTTTTTTGGTATGTGCCCCTAGCAGGAACTAAACCCAGGACTCTCCAGTGCGCAGGCCAATGCTCCAACCGCTGAGCCAAACCAGCCAGGGCCTATCATTAAAATTATTAAAATTGACATAGCTTTCAACTAAATTTCAATAAGTACCCTATGTGGCTCACATTATACAAGTTGTCTGGCTCTTTCTGTTTGTTTGTTTTAATCCTCACCTGAGGACATGTTCACTGACTTTTAGACAGAAGAGAAAGGAGGGAAGTAGAGAGGGAAAGAGGGAGAGAGAGAAAGAGAAACATCAATGTGAGAGAGAAACATCAATCAGTTGCTCCCTGCACACACCCCAACCAGGGCCAGAGAATGAACCTGCAACCTAGGTATGTACCCTGACTAGGAACTGAACCCATGACCTTTTGACGTATGGGACGACACTCCAACTGAGCCACAACAACCAGGGCTGCTTGGCTCTTTTAATGGCTGCATAATATTCCACCTTCGGATGCAATGTGCTGTGATGGCCACTGAAGAGGCTTCCCATTTTCTGCTCATATAAAATCTTTAGAACAACTATCCTTATTCCTAGATCATTGGGTCTATGTATGTTCATATTCCCAGTGAAGTAATTCCTAGCAGTGGAATAATCAGTGAGTTAAAAGGAATATACATATAACACTTTGCTGATTTTTGCTAAACTACCCTCAGCAGAAGATCCTTACACATTTTCAACAATAAAGTTTTGAGATTAGGAGTTTGGGTGGGGGAGGCAGAGGGGCTGCATTCGCTACAAATCAAAAGAGAAAATTCCTACAGAAGAGACCAGAATCCCAAAGGAGACTGAAACACTCTCTCAGCAAAGGCCTGATGCAGGGTTCAGTTATTTACATTCCCTTCTGGTGACATCATGGGGCCCGGTCAGCAGCAAACTCACCAAATAAGGTTTCAGGCTCAAAAAAAAAAAAAAGGATGGTGCGTGGCTGGTCTGGGGCTGGTGGGGGAGCAAGCTCCCAAGGGAAGCTCCATGGCCCAGCCAGGCAGGAAATCAGCTGTCTAGCTGGCAAAGGAAACCTCCCCTCTCTCCCATAAGAATGCCACAGAACCCTGGTCGGTTTTTTGAGTGGTTAGAGCATCAGCCCTTGGGACCGAAGAACTGTGGGTTCAATTCTCAGTCAGGGGCACATGCCTCAGTTGTGGGTTTGATCCCTGGCCTGGTCAGGGTCATGTGGGAGGCAGCCAATCGGTGTGTCTCTCTCACATCAATGTTTCTCTCTCCCATCCTCCCACTCTGTCTGGGAATCAATGGAAAAACACTCTCGGGTAAGGATTTAAAAAAAAAAAGAATTCTACCCCAGCCGGTGTAGCTCAGTGGCTGAGCGTCAACCCATGCACTAAGAGGTCACCAGTTCAATTCCTGGTCAGGGCACATGCTCAGGTTATGGGCCTGGTCTCCAGTTGGGGACATACAGGAGATGGCCAATCAATGTTCTCTGTCATCAGTGTTTCTCTCTCTCTCTCTCTCTCTTTCCTCTCTCTAAAAGTCAGTTAAAGAAAAAAAAAAAAAAAAGAATGCTATACAATTGGCCGGAGTGTGGGCCCAGGCAAGAGACCTTCCCCAAAAATGTCAAGAGCTAAGGAGGCTCAAGTGCCTCCCATAAGAGAGAATTAAGGAAAGGGACAGACCTTTACCAACAAAAGCTGCTAACACCTACATATCCCAGGCACAGTGGTAGGTGTCTATGTGCTCAACTACATTTCTTCCCAAAGGAAATGCACAAAGGATGTCAGAGCAAGAACTCTCAGCCAGTATGTCTGATTCCAAAGCCCAAACTTATTCCACCAGCATATGACCCTGACTCACTCTTTCTTGGAGAATAGGATAAAAGACATGAGGGCAGATACTGTCCAGAAAACCCCCAACCACCTTTCTCCCACCCTGGAGCCTTGTCAGAAGGCCTGCTTACCTGCCCAGCTCCTCCCCCATCTCATAATGGTCTTCCACATCTTCCTGCCTGAATGTGGACATGGTAGCCAGTCTGCCTTCCAGCACCTTCCACCCCAGTGAAAGTCCAGTCACTACTGCAGCCTGGGAACAGGACCTCAGGAAGTCTCCTACCAGTGACCCTAGAAGAGACAGGTAATAAGGAAGAAAGAGTGACATGCGAATTCCTAGCAAACAAAGCAACCTACTCACCAAAAATAGTTTTCACATCACTCCAAGCTTAAGTTCCATGGTTTCTGGGAAGGGCATTTGCATTTGGCAGGCTGAGTAATGTCATGTGTCATCTCAAAAAGGTCAGAGTTAGCCCCACTATGCCACTTTGCCCCCATAATTCCCACCAGCCACACCTCCGTGTCCTCACACACTGCCCTAGCCTTTCTCTGCCTCTCCTTCCTAGGCTTCTCCTAGGACTCCCACAAATTCCTGAAAGTTCGCCCACATATTTCGCAGCCCCAAACCCCTAAACTCCCTCACCCCTTGCCCAACTTCTTAGTTCTAGCCTCAACACACTCCCATCTCCCCTGCCCATCGGCAACCTCAACCCCTCTTCCTCCTTACCCATTCCTTCCACACCTCAGCTAGTCTCTTAAGGCCCTCCTCAGTGGTTTGCTCCCCCTAATCTTGAATTCCCCAGGAACTGGACAATGGCTTCCAAGCTCTTCCTACCCATTCTTTCCTACCCCAGATTTTCACCGTCAAGACTAACCCCTTCCCTCTCCTCAAAAGCACCCCTCCAGGTATTAAAGGCCCCCACCTCCGTCTCCCTCACTCCAAACGGAACCCGCAAAGGGCCAATCTGTCTTCTCCATTGACCTTTTCCCCCAACCTTCGCACAACCTCCAAGGGTACCAAACCGAATGTCCCTGTTCACTCATCCCCGAGGTCGCCACACCCCTCGCAGCCCCGGGCCCAGACCTTTCCCCGGCTCGGTCATCCCAAGGGTCTCCAAACGCCCCACCCACAGCCCCACAAGTGCCCCTCACACCCACCGACCTCGAATAGAATCCGCTCTTCACCGTCCAGAGCTCCGAGCCCAGCCACTCCTTCCGCCGCGCTGGTCGCCGCAAAGCGCTGACCTGTACCTACGTCACCGCGTCCGCCAGTGTTCGGCCCTGGGAGAAAGAACCCACCGCCCATTGGTCAACGCGCCCGCCACTCGCGACGCCCGGTTCTCCGCTTCCTTCCAGGCCTAGCTCTCAGACGTCAGGCTCTCCGCACCCGGATGCTGCTTCACTATTGGCCTACAGGCTCTCCGTCATGCAGCTGATTGGCTGTAACAGACGCCGGTCAAATTTACGCTCTCCTCTGACCCGGGTCCTGAAGCTGGGAGGCGGGATGCAGAAGTTCTGCATCCCCTTTCCTGCGTTTCTTGGCCCCTAGATACGCGAGTCCAAGGCCTAGCTCAGGCGATGGCAGCTCCTGGGGTGGACTCCAGGACTGCTTCAGTCCCTGAGTGGCAGTAGAACGTTACCCACATCCCAAATACACAAATAAAAATGCATATGACGAGGTCAAAGTGTTGCCATTTATGCTTGAAGATCCTTCTGTGACTTATTTGTCTCAAGATACATGATAAAAACAGCTATTATTTAACCAGCCAGTGTGGCTCAGTGGTTGAGCATCCACCCATGCACCAAGAGCTTGTGGGTTCGATCCCTGGTCAGGGCACATGCTGGAGGTGCAGGCTCGATCCCCAACGGGGTGTGAGGGAGACAGCCAATCAATGTTTCTCTCATCATTGATGTTTCTATCTCTCTCCCCCTCTCTCCCTTTCTCTCTATCTAAAATCAATAAAAACATTAAAAAAAAAAAAAAAAGCTAGCATTTACTGAACCTTAGTAGATACTAATCAGCAACCTGAGAAGGTAGAATATATTAAAATTTCTACAGATGGGGAAACTGAGACACAGAGAAGTTAAATAACCCACCCCAATCACACAGGCAGTAAATGATATAGTTGAGATTCATTTCCAGATAGACATGTATTATTACATCTTCCAATGCTGAACCACCTCATATGCCATCTAACACGAAAGCCCATGTCTTTTGGCCTTTGCTAACTGCCCTAACACCTTGCCATTATCCCTTTACGCATTCCAACTCCATTTGCCTTCCTTCTGACCTCCAACATTTCATTCCTACCCAAAGTCTTGGCATGAGCTGTTTCTTCTGCCTGGAGATCACCTCCCTCCACTCCTAATTCCTATGTATACTTCAGCACACAATTATATTCACCTTCTCCTATACCCAGTTTCCCCCTATTATTACATCGCCCATTCATATATTACATTTCTTACAACTAATGAACCTGTCTTGACACATTTTTATTAAGCAAAGCCCACATCTTATTCAGATTCCTGGTTTTCCCTGTCCTTTTTCTTTCTTTCAATTTTTTAAAATTGATTTTAGAAAAGGGAAGAGAGAGGAAGAGAGAAACATTGATGAGAAAGAACATCGATTGGCAGCCTCCTGCATGCCCCACTCAGGATTTGGCCCACAACCTGGACACGTGCCCTGACCAGGAATCGAACCGATGACCTCTTGGTGCATGGTCCATGCTCAACCACTGAGCCACACTGGCCAGGGTTCCTTGTCCTTTTCTGTCCCAGGATCCCACATGACACTTAGTTGTCTTCTTAGGCTCCTCTTGGCTATGAGTTTTCTCACTTCCCTGTTTTTTTAATCCTTATCAGAGGACATTTTTTCATTTATCTTCAGATAGAGTGGGAGGGAGAGAGAGAGAAACATCGATGTGAGAGACACATCAGTTGGCTGCCTCCTGCATGACCAGACCAAGGCTGGGGACCAAACCACAACAGAGGTATGTGCCCCTGATCAAAATCAAACCCGAGACTCTTTGGGCCGAGGGTCGATGCTCTAACTGCTGATGCTCTAAACCGGCCAGGGCATCACTTCCCTGTTTTAGATGAGTCTGAGGATTTTCTTTTTTTATCCTCACCCAAGGACATTTTTGCATTTATCTTGAGATAGAGCGGGAGGGAGAGAGGGGAGAGAGAAAAACATCAACGCGAGAGAGATACATGGAGTGGCCGCCACCCACACAACCCCAACCGGGGCTGGGGACGAACCACAACTGAGGTACGTCCCCTAGCAGGAACCGAACCCGGGCCTCTTTGGTCCGTGGGCCGATGGTCCAACCGCTGGGCCAAACCAGCTAGGGCGAGTCTGACGGTTTTGAGGATTGGTCGAGTATTTTGTAGACTTTTCCTCAATTGGAATGTCTGTTTTTCTCATTAGACTGGAGTGATGGGTTTTAGGAAGACCAGAGGGTAGTGTCATTTTTATCAAACCATATCCAGGGTCCATACTATCAACATGACTTATCATTGTTAAAAGTTATTATTTTCCTCCTCTTCCTACTGTATTCTTTGGAAGAAAGCTACTGATGAGCAGCCCGTACTTAGGAGTTGGAACATAATTTTTACTTGAAAAAAAAATTGACAAACTAGTAATTCAGACTTGTGTCTTTGGCAGGCATTTTCTCAAAAATGAACAAATAGAGCCTATCAATTCAAGGATAACAATTGACAGTATTAGTTGCTAATGGTAAATTTTCAGTTTTCAAGCAAAAAATTAATTTCAAAACCTGCTTGAGTTTCCTGATAATTCAACATTTTCCTGATGAAATGAACAAATGTGACTTTTCAGCCTGGCCGGTGTGACTCACTGGTTGAGCGTCAGACCCATGCACCAAGAGGTTGCCCGTTCAATTCCTGGTCAGGGCACATGCCCAGGTTGTGGGTTGGGATATTTCTCTCTCTCTCTCCCTTCCTCCTTCTCTAATTCAATAAAAAATATATATACATATTTTTTATTTTTTTTTTATTTTTTATCCTCACCCGAGGACATTTTTCGATATTTTGTTCAGATAGAGTGGGAGGGAGGGAGGGAGAGAGAGAGAGAGAGAGACAGAGAGAGAGAAACATCGATGTGAAAGGGACACATCGAGTGGTCGCCACCCACACGACCCAACCAGGGCCAGGGACAAACCGCAACCGAGGTACGTGCTCTTAGCGGGAACCGAACCCGGGTCTCTCCAGACCGCAGGCCAACGCTCTAACCGCTGAGCCAAACCGGCCCGGGCTATACATATTTTTTAAATGTGACTTTTCAATGGTGTTCAATGAAATGTGTCAACATCTCAAAGAGCTGCAAACTTGATTGACAAGTATTTCCAAATAGCCCCTTGATGTTACAATATCATACATGGAGAAAAGACCCATTCAATGTGCAAGACAGACCAATGGATTTTAATGTAACAGTATGAAAATGTGGTTTCAGCCCTGGCCGGTTTGGCTCAGCGGTTAGAGCGTTGGCCTGCGGTCCTGAGAGACCCGGGTTCGGTTCCTGCTAAGGGCGCGTACCTCGGTTGCAGTTTGTCCCCGGCCCTGGTCAGTTGTGCGGGTGGCAGCCACTCGATGTGTCCCTTTCACATCGATGTTTCTCTCTCTCTCTCTTCCTCTCTCTCCCTCCCACTCTACCTGAGCAAAAAATGGAAAAATGTCCTCGGGTGAGGATTAAAAAAAAAAGAAAATGTGGTTTCAGATACCACATCATAATTATTCATCAAGAAACTACCACTTTTGCCTGGCCAGTGTGGCTCAGTGGATTAAGTGTCATCCCATGGACTAAGAGGTCCTGGTTCTATTCCCAATCAGGGCACACACCTGGGTTGCAGGCTTGATCCCCAGTAGAGGGCTTGCAGGAGACAGCTGATCGATGTTTCTCGCACATCGATGTTTCTTTCTCAAAAGATCAATCCAAACATTTTTAAAAACAATAGTATGATTAGCCCGGCTGGTGTGGCTCAGTGGTTTAGTGTCGACCCATGCACCAAGAGGTCACCAGTTCAATTCCCAGTCAGGGCACATGCCCAGGTGTGGGCCAAATCCTCAGTGGGGGCCAAATCCTCAGTGGGGGGCATGTAGGAGGTGACAATTGATGTTCTCTCTCATCAATGTTTCTCTCTCCCCCTCTTCCAGTCTCTCTAAAATCAATAAAGAAAAAATTAATATGATTAAAGAATTATTTCCTTTAAAGAAAAAGGAACTACTACTTGAACTTTAGTGTTGCATCAAAGAATATCCACGTTTACCTGAAAAAAGTATTAAAATGCTTCTTTTTCAAGTATGAGATAAGAGGCTAGGTTTTCTTCTTATAATTCAACCAAAACAATGTATTAAAACACATTTAATGCAGAAGTAGAAAAGACCATCTTTTACTAAGCAATAGATTTCAAAGACTTGCAAAAATTGTGAAAGTTGCTCCTACTATACTGTTTAGAAAATAGCCCCCCCCCCTTAAAAATAGGTTATGTTAACATGTAATGGGTTTATCTTTTTTTTTTTGTACATGCCCCTAGCGGGAACGAAACCCAAAACTCTCTGGTCCGCAGGCCGACGCTCCAACCACTGAGTCAAACAAGCCAGGGCTATAATTTTTATATCAATTACTATTAAGTAATTTCTGAAAGTGGTATGAGTAGATATGCCCATTTTATTTTATTTTTTATTTTTTATCCTCACTTGAGGACATTTTTCCATTTTTTGTTCAGATAGAGTGGGAGGGAGAGAGAGGAAGAGAGAGAGAAACATCAACATGAAAGGAACACATCAAGTGTGGCTGCCACCCGCATGACCAACCAGGGCCGGGGACAAACCGCAACCAAGGCATGCGCCCCTAGCAGGAACCGAACCCAGGACTCTCTGGACCGCAGGCCGACGCTCCAACCACTGAGCCAAACCGGCCAGGGCGATATGCCTATTTTATTTATTTTTAGAAGGGAGGGAGGGAAGAGAGAAAGTGGGGGAGAGGAACAGAGAGGGACAAGGAAAGAGAGGAAGGAAGGAGTGAAGAAGGGAGGAAAGGAGGGAGGGATGAAGGGCAGGGAGGGAGGGAATAAAGCAGATATGCCCATTTTAAATGTTTTTTTTTTTTTTATCCTTACCGAGGACATTTTTTACCTTTTTTTTTTCAGATAGCGATGTGAAAGGGACACATCAAGTGGCTGCCAGCCGTGGCTGCCACCCGTAAGACCAACCAGGGTCAGAGACAAACTGCAACCGAGGTACGCACCCTTAGCAGGAAC